GTGGTTCATATAGCCTCGGCTATCACCTCATTATGTCCGGTCGTGATGGTCAAGTGGATTAAGGCGTCTTGTACATACCAGTTGCGTGGCTTCTGGGAGTATGGGTTCGAGTCACTTCTGGGGTGTGAGTTTTCAGTTGCATATGGGGACCATTCAGGCTTGTTCATCCTCACGTGTGCCCCAAAGAATGAGGTGATTTGGTAAAATGCGGTCGTGATGGTCAAGTGGATTAAGGCGTCTTGTACATACCAGTTGCGTGGCTTCTGGGAGTATGGGTTCGAGTCACTTCTGGGGTGTGAGTTTTCAGTTGCATATGTCCTGGGGACCATTCAGGCTTGTTCGCATTTGTGTTCCTCACGTGTGCCCCAAAGAATGAGGTGATTTGGTAAAATGCTATGCCCAAGATAACTATCCGAGTGCCGGCGGTGGGGTGGTTCATATAGCCTCGGCTATCACCTCATTATGTCCGGTCGTGATGGTCAAGTGGATTAAGGCGTCTTGTACATACCAGTTGCGTGGCTTCTGGGAGTATGGGTTCGAGTCACTTCTGGGGTGTGAGTTTTCAGTTGCATATGTCCTGGGGACCATTCAGGCTTGTTCGCATTTGTGTTCCTCACGTGTGCCCCAAAGAATGAGGTGATTTGGTAAAATGCTATGCCCAAGATAACTATCCGAGTGCCGGCGGTGGGGTGGTTCATATAGCCTCGGCTATCACCTCATTATGTCCGGTCGTGATGGTCAAGTGGATTAAGGCGTCTTGTACATACCAGTTGCGTGGCTTCTGGGAGTATGGGTTCGAGTCACTTCTGGGGTGTGAGTTTTCAGTTGCATATGTCCTGGGGACCATTCAGGCTTGTTCGCATTTGTGTTCCTCACGTGTGCCCCAAAGAATGAGGTGATTTGGTAAAATGCTATGCCCAAGATAACTATCCGAGTGCCGGCGGTGGGGTGGTTCATATAGCCTCGGCTATCACCTCATTATGTCCGGTCGTGATGGTCAAGTGGATTAAGGCGTCTTGTACATACCAGTTGCGTGGCTTCTGGGAGTATGGGTTCGAGTCACTTCTGGGGTGTGAGTTTTCAGTTGCATATGTCCTGGGGACCATTCAGGCTTGTTCGCATTTGTGTTCCTCACGTGTGCCCCAAAGAATGAGGTGATTTGGTAAAATGCTATGCCCAAGATAACTATCCGAGTGCCGGCGGTGGGGTGGTTCATATAGCCTCGGCTATCACCTCATTATGTCCGGTCGTGATGGTCAAGTGGATTAAGGCGTCTTGTACATACCAGTTGCGTGGCTTCTGGGAGTATGGGTTCGAGTCACTTCTGGGGTGTGAGTTTTCAGTTGCATATGTCCTGGGGACCATTCAGGCTTGTTCGCATTTGTGTTCCTCACGTGTGCCCCAAAGAATGAGGTGATTTGGTAAAATGCTATGCCCAAGATAACTATCCGAGTGCCGGCGGTGGGGTGGTTCATATAGCCTCGGCTATCACCTCATTATGTCCGGTCGTGATGGTCAAGTGGATTAAGGCGTCTTGTACATACCAGTTGCGTGGCTTCTGGGAGTATGGGTTCGAGTCACTTCTGGGGTGTGAGTTTTCAGTTGCATATGTCCTGGGGACCATTCAGGCTTGTTCGCATTTGTGTTCCTCACGTGTGCCCCAAAGAATGAGGTGATTTGGTAAAATGCTATGCCCAAGATAACTATCCGAGTGCCGGCGGTGGGGTGGTTCATATAGCCTCGGCTATCACCTCATTATGTCCGGTCGTGATGGTCAAGTGGATTAAGGCGTCTTGTACATACCAGTTGCGTGGCTTCTGGGAGTATGGGTTCGAGTCACTTCTGGGGTGTGAGTTTTCAGTTGCATATGTCCTGGGGACCATTCAGGCTTGTTCGCATTTGTGTTCCTCACGTGTGCCCCAAAGAATGAGGTGATTTGGTAAAATGCTATGCCCAAGATAACTATCCGAGTGCCGGCGGTGGGGTGGTTCATATAGCCTCGGCTATCACCTCATTATGTCCGGTCGTGATGGTCAAGTGGATTAAGGCGTCTTGTACATACCAGTTGCGTGGCTTCTGGGAGTATGGGTTCGAGTCACTTCTGGGGTGTGAGTTTTCAGTTGCATATGTCCTGGGGACCATTCAGGCTTGTTCGCATTTGTGTTCCTCACGTGTGCCCCAAAGAATGAGGTGATTTGGTAAAATGCTATGCCCAAGATAACTATCCGAGTGCCGGCGGTGGGGTGGTTCATATAGCCTCGGCTATCACCTCATTATGTCCGGTCGTGATGGTCAAGTGGATTAAGGCGTCTTGTACATACCAGTTGCGTGGCTTCTGGGAGTATGGGTTCGAGTCACTTCTGGGGTGTGAGTTTTCAGTTGCATATGTCCTGGGGACCATTCAGGCTTGTTCGCATTTGTGTTCCTCACGTGTGCCCCAAAGAATGAGGTGATTTGGTAAAATGCTATGCCCAAGATAACTATCCGAGTGCCGGCGGTGGGGTGGTTCATATAGCCTCGGCTATCACCTCATTATGTCCGGTCGTGATGGTCAAGTGGATTAAGGCGTCTTGTACATACCAGTTGCGTGGCTTCTGGGAGTATGGGTTCGAGTCACTTCTGGGGTGTGAGTTTTCAGTTGCATATGTCCTGGGGACCATTCAGGCTTGTTCGCATTTGTGTTCCTCACGTGTGCCCCAAAGAATGAGGTGATTTGGTAAAATGCTATGCCCAAGATAACTATCCGAGTGCCGGCGGTGGGGTGGTTCATATAGCCTCGGCTATCACCTCATTATGTCCGGTCGTGATGGTCAAGTGGATTAAGGCGTCTTGTACATACCAGTTGCGTGGCTTCTGGGAGTATGGGTTCGAGTCACTTCTGGGGTGTGAGTTTTCAGTTGCATATGTCCTGGGGACCATTCAGGCTTGTTCGCATTTGTGTTCCTCACGTGTGCCCCAAAGAATGAGGTGATTTGGTAAAATGCTATGCCCAAGATAACTATCCGAGTGCCGGCGGTGGGGTGGTTCATATAGCCTCGGCTATCACCTCATTATGTCCGGTCGTGATGGTCAAGTGGATTAAGGCGTCTTGTACATACCAGTTGCGTGGCTTCTGGGAGTATGGGTTCGAGTCACTTCTGGGGTGTGAGTTTTCAGTTGCATATGTCCTGGGGACCATTCAGGCTTGTTCGCATACATACATATATATATATATATATATATATATATATATATATATATATATATATATATATATATTAGACTATGGCAACACTCAATTGATGAGGGTTCTAGTTTACCGGGAACCACGAGCCAGAACCTGGCCCTCCTCAGAGAGGCACGAGGAGCAATGGCCTATAGACAGTCCCCATGTGATTGGAAGCAGTCTGTGTCTGCAGTCTACCAGGTCAGGCACCCAGAAAGGTAGGAATCCTAAAATAAACTACAACTGGTTAAAAATTGCAAACCGAAAGCCGAATGAGCAAGATGAACTCTCCGATCAGAAAACAAGCAAACAAGCAAGACATCACCACAGCCGCTGCCCCGTTATCCGCAACCTAGCCTGTTATTTGATACACAGAATACCTAGCATGCAACCAAGCCGCTGCCTGACCCTTCACATCTTCAGACGAGAAATGGGTAAATTGAACAATAAGCAAGGAACATGTCCCACAAGACTCAGGGTCATAGGTGTCATTAACCCAACAGGCAGCATGACAGAGGCAGGATGGATGATCGTTACCACGAGGCACAGGCAACGAACACCCCCTCGGCACTGCACAAGGTGAGATAGGTTTTGGAAGACACATCTATGGTACCCCCAAGCCCTATAGGAATTTCCAGGGGCCCGTAGAATATGTTAGCCCTGCAGAGAGCCCAGGCACTGGGGCCAGCTAAGCTGGTAACCCCTGTCTACTGCAGGCAAACTGACAACCGGCATTGCCATGAAACCTCGGGGCAACAGAGGACTCCCAAACACAACCTATGGGAGCCTAATGAGAACCTAGGCAGACCACCTCTGCAAAGGAAGTGAGAATGCATGAAAACAAAGAAACAAAAAGTACCTCGAAGCAACACACACAGCCTAACCGGTCCCCCAGAGAGAATCTTTGGGCACCGCTGAACGCAAGCTGCCCCGGCTGCAGCGCGCCCCTCCCAGCACAAACCCACTCCCTACTCATGGCAAGACAGGAAACCCATGACCCCCAGCAAACCCCAAGGGCGAGAACAACACCAAGTGATGAAGTCCTCAAATAGGAGTGAGGCCCGAATGACCCAGGGAGGGAAACTCCGACCCATAAGGGAAGTACTTACCAGGCACCAAGGGAAGTACTTACCAGGCACCTAGGGAAGGGAATCCTAGGTGCATGCAGCCCAGTATACTTGTAGGAACACCTGGCCACCACACAACACAGCTGGCAAAGTCACAAATACAAAACCAGGCAATAAATTGAGGCCAGAGAGTTCATGTGACACCTGGCACATCAGTTTACGAACTGAGGGTGGTGCGGCCTGCTCACCTGAGCAGGGTCCCCCCCCTCCTCCCTGTTGGGGAAGGGTGAGGTGCTAACGAGTGGGCACGCTAGTTGGATGACATGTTGCTTGTTTCATTGTTTTCTATTGGGGTGGGGGAAGAGTTCTGGGCCTCTGTTTGGTTGTAGGTTGCAATTTTAACCAGTTAGAGATTTATAATGGTTCACCTACCTTTCACGGGTGCCTGCCTCATCGATGGCAGACATGACAAACTCTACATATAGAGCGCTCATATGGCCACTGCTCTCTTCGTCTCTGAGGAAGCCAGGGTCTGGCTCGTGGCCCCCGGTAGACACTCGAATGCCAAGGACTGATGGCACCAAACTAACATGGCACATATCAGTTTGATAGCTTCAGGAAGCCGACGGGGCTCCCCTCAGAAAAATCTGGTTGAATCATTATTTTAGGAATTATAATGCACAAATATGAACACACAACTCTTCTGAATAAGTTTTGGAATGGTTTACTTGTAGTATCCAAGATAGAAGACTATATGGAAGAAAGTTGAGACACTGAAGAGGCTTGCGAGCCCTACGCCATAAATGGTTGCAGCTAACTGATGCATGTCCGAGCGACTAGCCATGACCATCATCACTGCCCCATAAATGGCAGGCAGTACAAACAGCTGAGAAAATAAAGACAATAAAAATTAACTTAAGTTAACCTAAATGTCATTTTATAAGGATTCAAGAAAATTTGAAGAAACTAATTATTGAAGATTTTTGGTAGAAAATGCTTTTATGCTGAATTTGCTTTTATTATACACTAATAAATACAAGCATTAAAATTCTTTAGCAGCATCTTATATGAGCTTTTAAAATTAAAATTAAATAAAGCTTCAACATGCAATCAAATTTACTTATGACACCTGTAAAAGGATGTTGGTCTTTATTATACCTTTAAAGCAATCATAATCATTACATACATGCCCCACCAAAAAGTATTGAATAAAGTGAAACACTATTTTGAGTGGTCCCTTGAATGTTCCCGGAACTAGGAGCCATTTGAACAAGCAGGAAAGTCATTATTGTCATTATTATTGAACCAGCAGGAAAAGTCAGGAAAGTCAGAAAAGGCAACAGTCAATTGGAGTTCAGCCTACCGGGGACTACGAGCAAGAACCTGGCTCCCCCTCAGAGAGGCACAGGGAGCAATGGCCTATGGAAACCCTCCCTGTGGATGGGAGCATTCCATGTCCACCATTGACTGGGGTTAGGCACCCAGAAGAGTAGGCATAATATAATAAACCCCACTTGGTAAGAAAATTGCAACCGAAGACCAAACAGGAAGGCAGAACTCCCCTAACACCCAAGGAAACAAGCAAACTTCATTCACCGCCGCCGCGCTGTTTATCCATGCAGCCGTCACCTCCCCGGGAGGGGGAAGCTCCGGACCTCCATGCGGCGGCTACTCACACCTCCAGTTTGGAGGCTGAGCATCAAAAGCAAAATGAAACCGCCAACCAGAGGGAAGGAGGGAGGGTAACAGGGAGCCTCCGGGGCTCACCCAGAAAATGGCACTTCATTACATTCAATGCTGGTTTTCTGTGGGGAGCCCCCTTTGGCTCCCAGGAGCTACCTAACCAAAGACAAGTAAAAGAGAGACTTACCCAGGAGCCGGCCACCAGGCACACAACATGCACACTTTTAGCCATGCAGATTTGTGAACCTCATTCTGGAGACATTCTTGTATCAACACATAAAGCAGGCCACAAGAATGAGGGAAGGAGATGTACCGTCAGTACTGGACCTAGTATTCACCAGGAAAGAAGAAGAGATATTTGACATCCAGTACCTTCCTCCCTTGGAAAAGAGTGATCACGTCCTGTTAGACATTAAATATGCTTTAAGATATCATCTAGAAGAAAATGGAGACATTGAAACAGTTGATAAACTCGATTTAAGGAGAGGTCACTATTGGGAACTTCGAAAAAATTTTAACGAGTGTAATTGGACAGACTTGTTGCTAGGCAGGGAAGTAAATGAAATGTATGCCAAATTTTGCAAAATATACGATGAAGGCACACAAACATTTATACCAAAACAGAGATACAGGGCCAGAAAACAGGATTGGTTCAACAGAAATTGCAAGAGGACCAGAGATCAAAAGACACAAAAAATCAGCGTTGAATGTAATGAAACGCCATTTTCTGGGTGAGTCCCGGAGGCTCCCCGGAGCTTTCCCAGGCTGATATGCTAATGTCAGACTTTGACATCAGTCATGTGTATGGAGTTCTTAGGCCTACCGGGGACCACGGCCAGAACCGGGCCCCCTCAGAGAGGCAAGGAGAGCAATGGCCAATAGAAACCCCCATGTGGTTAGAAGCATTCTATGTCTGCCATCGACCGGAACAGGCACCCAGAAAGGTAAGCGCCTCAAAACAAACCCCTATTCTGGTTAAAATTGCTACCAAAAGCCGAACTAGTGGATAGAACTCCCCAACAGAAAACAAGCAAACTAGTGTGACGTCACACGTCACCACGCCGCTGTCTGCGCAGCTCTCCCCTCCCCGGGAGGGGGAAGGGGCAGCCCCAGACCCTTCATGCCAGCTACCCACACTTCAGTTCTGAGGCTGGATGTCAAAAAGACAAAAAAAAAACGCCGACCGGAGGGAGGGAGGGAGGGAGGGAGGGATGTCGGGGGAGCCTCCATGACTCACGCAGAAAATGGTGTTTCATTACATTCAACGCTGGTTTTCTGGGGGGAACCCTGTCGGCTCCCCAGAGCTAACTACCCACAGACGGAAAAAGAGGGACTTACCCGAGAGGCAGTTGTTGCTCACTCCTTAACTCGAAGTCGAGGCAACTGGCTGCAACCGCCGACCCAAAGCAACACAGGCCCAACGGGGCCCAGAGACATTCACGAGGTAACGAGCAGCCAGGGCCCTGTTCGACCGCCAAAAACCCTGCGCCCGAATATCAGACCAAGACATATTCCCAAAGACGGCAGCAAGAGCCGCGAACTTACGGACGTCATGGGCACGGGGAAAGACCACAGGTTGACTGGACTTGATAACCCTGCAGACAACCTGGGAGACCCGAACCCGTGAACAGGGAAGAAGGGAAACCGGATCAACCCAAAGCACGTCCCCGGACACAAAAGCAATGGCACGCAAATAACCGCGAAGCGCCGCAACCGGACACAAAACATGATGCACCCCCGGCCGTACTAACCAAGCATTAACCACCCACGGACCCCTCTGGAACGCAGCAGTCTAATTCTTCGCCAGAAAAGAAGGAGACGGCTGCAAACGAACAAAATCTCCACAACCAAAAGAGCAGAAACCCCCGCGCCGGAGGAGAGCATGAAGCTCTCCGACCCGACCCCAAGAGGCTAATGCCAACAAGAAGAGAGCCTTGGAGAAACAATATGGACCGAAGGGGCCACAACGAAACGAGGAGACGAAAGGTAAGCGAGCACTCTGTCCATAGACCAGGACGGCTCAGGCGGCGCACGAGCAGGCCAGAAGTGAAACAAAGCATGAGACAGCTTGCGAAACGGCGCAAATGTAACATCGATACTGAAGGCAAGCTGAAGCGGCTCCGCCAGCGCCGCACGATCCGAGGCAACAGTGTTAGGCATAAGATGATGGTCTTGAAACAACCAAGAGAGAAAGGACAAGACCACCCTAACAGACAACGAAGTAACACGACGAAGACGCAAAAAGAAACAGAAGGACCGCCAGGAAACTTCATACTGCTGCCTAGAAGAAGCCCTCAGGTGGGACACCAACAAGGAGGCCACCTTATCACCATAGAGATGATGATAGACTCGAGTTAAAAAACCCATACGCAAAGACTCGAGGAGAAGATTGAACCAGCTACGTGACGTACCGGCCCGATCTGCTGAAAGAGGCATCGACCCCGATGGCCTCGCTATTGTGGAAGGGCGCCGCATACACAGGAAGGCGCTTCGACCATGCCAATGCGAAGAGGTCCATCTCGGGGCGCCCCAACGTCTGGCAAAGCCAACGGAAGGAAGCGTCGTCAACCGTCCACTCGATGGAGAGGGGAACGAAGTGAGACAGGCCGTCGGCCAAGACGTTACTCTCCCTGTACGTGAACCGCCAGGAGAGCCAAACTCCAAGAACTCAGCAGACGAGTCACCCGAAGTGACCAACCCCAAAGAGACAAGAACTGCATCGAACCCCCACGATTCAGAAAATGAACCACCGGAGAGCAGTTCGAATGGAGCCAAATCGTCGGTCCACGTGCAACCCGAATCCTCCGAAGAGCAAACCACACTGCCGCGAACTCCCGCACCGTGCTGTGAGCTCGATGGAAGGACAGACCCCAACGCCCCTGGCCAGCCTGGTGAGCACGGGTCACAAAGCCCCAACCGAGAGAGAATGCATCCGTGAGCACATTGAGCGAGGGCTCGGGTAGGCGCCAAGGCACCGAACCCCGAGAAGAAGCTGGCGATACAGCAACTGACGTAAGGCCCCTGGAGTACGAACACAGCAATCACGAGAGAGGGGGAAGGCGGGTCCTTGAAGGAACCTGAACAGAAATCAAAGCCAAACCCGACCCAGCAGGCAGACCAGCACGGCGAAATTCAAACTCCCACACAACTGCTCGAGGAACGAAGTGCTAGGGGCCCAAAGGAGGGCCATCAAAATACCTTAAGCAGATAAATAGCCAAACAAGGCAGACCCCCCTCTAGGCAAGGAAAATAAAAGAGAAAAACCCCTCAAAAGTACGTCATCACTAGTAGGAGCAGGAACATGGCCACTGCGATGGTTGGCAAACTACGCAGCACCTTGCAGGGGGCCCCCTACCAGATACAAAAACTACTTCCTACCCAAGCCTAAACTAAGGCCACGAAACCCCAGCTGGCCTCAAGGGAGGGGTAAATGCCTTGCAGCAAGAACCCCTACAAAAATGAAGTCTTGAAGGCACTATGGAAGGTAGTACTTAAAGGATGCTTAGGGAAGGTAGCCCCTAAACGCATGCAGCCCCATTACACTGATGTTACACCTGGCCACCACACCACAAACAGCAGAGAACACCATCATGGCAAAACACTGCCAAGAAATCGAGGCCAGAGTTGACGACCACCCCTGATCGCATCAGCCACTGAACTGGAGGTGTGAGTAGCCTGCACGGGGGTCTGGGGCTTCCCCTCCCCCCTCCTGGGGAGGGGAGGGCTGCACGGACAAGCGGCGTGGCGGCGGTGAATGACATTTGCTTGTTTGCTCATTTCCTTGGGTGTAGGGGGAGTTCTGCCTCTCTGTTCATTTTTCGGTTGCAATTTACTTACCAAGTGGAATTTGTTTTGTTATGCCTACCTTTCTGGGTGCTCTCCTGGTCGATGGCAGACATGGACTGCACCCAACCACATGGGAGTTTCCATAGGCCATTGCTCCCCGTGCCTTTCTTAGGGGGAGGCCAGGCTCTGGCTCGTGGTCTCAAGTAGGCTGAATTCCAATTGACTGATGCCTCAGACTAATATACAGAGTATCACATATCAGTCCGACAGCTCCAGGGAGCCAAAGGAGCTCCCCCACAGAAAAGATAATTACTTGGCAGCCAGGATGAATTGGGGGTCATTTACTTCACGTAGGATGTAGTAAAGCCCCAAGTGTACCCAAGTCCCGAAGGTGAAGGGTACAGTTTAGAAGAAAGA